CATGAGTAATAGGGAAAGAAAACTGGAATCCTACTGGATTTTTATTATCCTGGTAAAAGAAATGGTGATAAAAGTTAAAACTACCCCCCCCCCCAAAGAAAGCCATATGAGTATATAAAACAAACAAAAGAATGTAATTTAAATTTCATTAGCAAAAAATGAACTCAGATGTTTACAAGTTTTATTTACATTACCAATCCTTATTTAAGAGCCAAACCATTCCATTTCTTTAATTTTTAGAAAACAGGCATGTTTCAGTCTGCACTGAAATACCAAAATAATTTTGTCATTTCATAATGAATGCTTCCACAGAGGCTTTATTATATTGTGGCCTGTCTTGGTCTCAATGAGGCTGATAGTAAATCAGACAAATAAGCAAACATTAGCTGTGGAGAATGTGTGTGTTTATGTGTGTACACAATATATATACTGTATATCGCATAATAAAATACCCAGAAAACATTCATGAAGAGTGAAGAAGAAGAAGAAGAAGAAGAAGAAGAAGAAGAAGAAGAAGAAGAAGGAGAAAAAGAAGAAGAAAAGGAGGAGAAGTTGGAAGAGGAGGAGTAGGATGAGCAGGATGAATAAAGAAAAAGAGGTAAAAGAAGAAGAAATAGAGGTTTGATAAGTAAAATTGAGAAAAAGAACTTTTGTTGGAGTTACACACATGTTTTTGTAGGCTTGCCAAAGACCCAGATGATATCACTGCTGGTTAATTCAGTGACCAAATTATTGGCCAGTAAGATTACCACAGGCCTTCTGCAGATGTGAGCCCTTCCCTGGGCGGAAAGACACCCTTTGTGGGATTTAGAGACGTGCCCATCACATACAAGTAAAACATGGGACATTGGCATTCTCTTCGGTTTTCTCAAAGGATCACCCCCAGCTTATACATTTCCATTTTCAACCTTCCCTTTCTATGAGCTAGCTCTACTCTCTACTCTTATTTTTACTAGAGAGAAACATAACTGTTGTCATTCACATGGTCCAATCCGGGGCTGATGGAAGGGACATCAGAGATCGGGGGTCTGAGAGTGACACCTAGAATGGACCCGGGCTCCCACGCGTGCTTTGTTTGGCCAGCCCAGTGTGGGGGAAACGGAGAAGAAAAAAGGGAGGGAAGGGAGGAAAGAGGAAGGAAGTAAGAAGGAAATTGGAGCGTTTTTAGGGAAAGTATCATCTGCCTAGTTCCACCATCTGCCTCACCATTCCATCATGTCTGCCATTGACCCCGTCACACATTGTCTGGCTCCTAAAGGCAGCCATTTTCAAATCTAGTCCCAACTTTATTTTATAGATGAAGACCAAGAATCCAAAATTGGTTTATTAACGTGCCCAAGGTAACAGATGGGTACTGTAAGAGCTACTGACCTGGCTCCTATGGCCACATCCTCCTCCTCTGAGTCCATCATACTCTTCCCTAAATTCAGTCTAGAGCTTGAAACACTAAAATGTGCAATACAAAGAGGGAGCGAGCATATAAAATGTATATAGAAAATAAACGATGTATTCCTATCCCTGTGCAAGTCTATCCCACCAGAGGAGGCCGAGAACTCCTAGGTGAATAGGTGAGTCATGTACACCGGTGTTGATAAAACAGAGTCCATAGCTAACACTGTGGCGACGGACTAGACATGGTTCTGTTATTGAGGCTGGGACACTGCATTTCTAGCAAATTCTCATCTTCCCTCTAATATCATACTCCTACATTCAAGTGTACAGAACTTAAAACAGCCTGGGCTGCCCATTCTGGTTTTTCTGACTCTTTCTTAGCTACAAACCAGTTTATTTCATACCTCGTGGTCTTCTACAGTGTGAATTTAAATGAAGCGGGGGCATTTCATGTTGTTCCCAGTTACTGATATAGTTCTCAGCCATTCTGTGGGTCTTGAATTATAGTTGTCTCCAGGGCGAATGAACCCCAAAGCGTACTGCCAGGGGACCTCCCAAGTCAGTTTCAGTTCTATATTAAACTCAGTGACTCCCAGGATACCTGGGATGTGCCTTTTTTTAAAAAAATTAATTAATTTTATTTTATTTTTTTACCATATCAGAAGCTCTCATGTCCTTTTCTGTGTAAGGATATCCCAGATTTGTGGGGCAGTGAATATTTCCAGCTTATTTTTTTCCCCAGAATGCTTACTTTGAAGGAACGTCATTAAACCTCTCCAATTTCTTGCGGTGGGGACATAGACAAACCAAAGCAGAGATATCCTCAGAGGGGAAAAAACGGTGACTGCATCCCAAAGTGTAAGGGACAAGGTGAGGGGTAAGGGTGGAGTCCGCATGGGGACCCCCTATTTCCAGGGCTGCTCCAGGACCCTCAGAGTTAAGGAAGCAAGACTTCCACCCAAGTTTTAAAAGCAAGAACTCTGACTGTGCTTTTCACATCAGAACTTCAAGTTCTTAATTTACTATAGTGATACCAAAATTCTATCTAAAGCATGTAAATGAGGAAAAAATGAGGGATAGCATGAAAAATTGTGAAAGCATTTCGCATTTTTATGGGGCTACTTCCTGGCTGGAAACAAATAAAGGAATGTTAGCAATGATTACATGTACAGTTATTTAGACATCAGAGGCATAACTTGCAAGGAAAAACCAAGAATTTGTATCAGCTTTTCCTCTAATCCTGAACTGGGTAAGACATGTCGGGGAAGCAATAACAGACAGACAAAACCAAATAAGCCAACAAAACCAACGCAAAACAATTCAAAGGAACTTTATATTGCATTTTATCTGATTATATAGGAACACAATTCTCAAGTTATTAAGCACAGACACTCAAAATCATGAGGATCCCCATATAAAGTAATGCCACCATATTTTGTTTATTCAGAAACACAAATTTTGACTTTAGGGGAATTATCCTCCTTATAAGTGGTAACTTAGACGTATGAAGTGAAGAAACTCAGACTATGCTCTGCTTCCAAATTAGCTGTTTTTCCCCCTTCTTTGAGCTGTTATATAAACTAAATGGACATGAAAATAAAAATGCTCCTACATAAGTCCTGAAAACCCATAAAAAACCAGGTTTCACTTCTTGATTTGGTTGTTAAACATATCACTAAAATTTTTTTAAGTTAACTTCTCTCTTTGCATTGTGTCTGCTTTTGATTATGTTTTCACTATCTTATATTGTTAGAACACTAAAATGAAAATTTATTTTAAAATGTACTTGCTTTGAATAAAAATTCTTCACATTAAAATTACTAAAAGCAGCATCATGGGTATGAAACATAGCGCTATAACATTAGTTTGAAATTCACTACTGCATCAAAATGCCTAATATTCAATGGTCTCTAATGTTTACATAAACATTCAAAATAAAGTCAAAGAAGGAGAAATATTAGGAGACACTTACAATGCAAAACAATGATTTTTAGCCAACCTCAAAAATTAAACAAAATCAGTCATATTATCATTGTGCACAATATTTTTCTTGCTTTCAAGTGAAAAGTTAGAAGTGGTTATTTCTTTATCTAATAGTTCTTGAAACATTAGTAAGGTGATGAGGGTATTCATTAAGACCAATAATTTTCCTCTTGCAGTTTGAATACTGAGAATGTTGACACTTTCTTTAACACCGCTGACAGATGGGAATAATAAATAATAACCCTTACAAAGTCTAGAGTCACTTGAAAATAAACTTTCTAATCTCCTCGAAAAATCTTCACTTTGCTGCAAGTACCAATTATAAATAGCAGCTAACATTTAATGAGTGCTTCTTATGTGCCAAACGCTGATCTTTACCCTTAATTTCTACCATAGTAATCTGTAATTATTTTGTTTCTTGCCTTTCTCGCCCACTAATCCAGAGGCTCCAAGGGGACAGGGACTTTGTCTAGTTCCTCATTGTATCCCCAGCTTAACACATAGTATGTATGTGCATACTATGCTTACATATGCACATATGTAAGTATGCTTAACACATAGGCACTCAATAAATGAGTCAGTGTTCTATATGCTTTTAATAGTTTTCAGTTGGTCATGACCTCGAGGGTTAAGAAAATGCAACAGAATAGAAAACAGTGTATTACATCCAGTAGAATAAATATTATTAATGAAACTTTCATTTTAGCTTATACATATGTATATGTCCCATATAAAATGTATTTCTGATGAGTAAGAGTAAAAAAAAGTCTGAAAATTATAGCTTTACATGGATTATTTCATTTGCTCCCCACAATAATCCTGTTTACAACACCGTGACTTCCACCTTAAAAGAACAGCACTAAGGTTTCTAGATGTTATGTATGATGTCCAATATGACGGCGCTATCTACAAGTATGGACTTCATGTCTCTAGATGCTCACTCATAGGGTACTATACTAAGAAAATCCGAATTAACTAAATAAGATTTTAGTCATAGTAGTTGTGACATGATTAATAAAGAAAACATAGGCTTTTGACTTTGTTCCTGTGCAGGCTTTGTCCTGACTTAATGTCTTTACACCTCCGTTTCCCCATGTGTAAAATAGGAATATTCATAAGTTGTTTGAAGTTTTAAATGATTTCATGTATGTAAAATCATATATTTATCAGCATACATTTAGACTGCCAAATATAGCTGTTGTGATTAAAATAATTATTAGTGTTGTTTCTCCCCATCCCCCGGTCCAATGCATCCCATTCAATCCACTACACCATAATTTGAATGCGTAAAAAGCGTGAATCAGGAACTTGGAGTAAAGAGCAAAGTATGGGAACTGGGCAAGAGTGGCACAGAGCCGTCCAAGAGTTTGTGCGGGCGCCGGGTGAGAAAGACGTCTACGTAAAGATCAGAAAGTTGGTTCAGGTAGCTAAGGTCATCAAGGGACACATCACTGGTTGATAGCAAAAACCAACACAGACTATCTCATCCTTCCTCATGAACATCCATCTTCTTCCTCTGCATCCCGGCTGGGGACGATCGGAGGTGTTAGGAAAGGTACCTGGCCATCTCCCGCCCACTAGACCCTGGTACTAAGGTTATGGCACAGGGGTTCGGAGCAACTCACCCCGGAGACTCCGTTGGTATTGCCCCAGAATCTCCTCTAGGGTAGAGTTCTCCGGGGACTTCGCCATGCACACACTCGGGGCCCAGAGTTGGGAGTTACTTGGCACAGTGTCCAGTGATCTCCCCTCCGAGAACAGGAGGCCTTAGCCTGCTTCCTGCCGCTGCTGTCAATGGGGAGCCAGGAACCCCGGACTGAGCTCGCAGGAGCTCTTTCCACCCAGTGGCCCTCCTGGTAGATGACGGGACATGTGGTTCACAGACTCCGGGCTTGCAGTCTCGACGATCCTGAGAGTTCTTCCAACGACACTACAATTCCCAGAGGGCACCGCGCTCCGATCTCAGGCTCTGGCCGTTTGGTTACCAGATCCGGTTGCCAAGAAACTGCTTGCAGGCTCCGCCCTCTTCCTGGCTCAGTGCTGCCTTCACCGCATCCTGCTGTTTGGACCACCCAAGAGACAGGGCTCACTGAAGGCCTTGACCCTTCCAAACCTGCTAGTAAGCATTCGATCCTTGAAGCTCCTCAAGGACACAAATAAGCTCCACACTCTTCAGCCACGACATTTGTCAAAACGGCCAAATAAGCAAAAGGAAGTAGCCCTAAATCTTCCGCAGAGACTAGATTGTGGAAAGGCGGTTGACACTACAAATCCTAGCATGCTCAGCAACCCGACCTCCGCTTGGATTTGGCGCGCTGCCCGCTGGGAACTGTAGTCCTTGTCGGTTGCGGTCCCTGCCAATGCCGGGGTCCTCTTCATTGTTCAACTTGGTCTTTGAGGCACGCCTGCGCAGTGGGCAGCTGGAAAAGTCTGGGGGTGAGACCCTCTGCACAACCCCTTTTCATTGTCTGTTTTTGGCGCCTGCGCAGTGAGAGATCGCTGATCTGAGCCGGAGAAGGGGATAGGGCCGGGCTCCTCGCCCTTTCCCCAGGCGCCTGCGCACTAGGCGGCCACTCTTTGCCGTTACCGCTATGTGTCGGGCGTGTGTGGAATAACGTTATTGCCCAGCGGAGCTGAGAGGCCGGGAGCGCGATCGCAGCCACAGCGACGACGACGACGACGACGACAGGGTGGGGGTGGGGGAGGACGGCGTGCGAGAGACTCACGGGACGCGACGCGCCCCGCCTTTCCCGTCCGGTCCCTCTCTCAGCGGTGAGGGGTAAGTGATGCGCTCGATCGCTGGCGTTAGGCGCTGCCGCTGCCGCCGCCGCCGCTCTGCCACATCCTTCTCCTCGGGATTGCAGCCGGGGCTCCGATCGCGGCCCGCGGCGGGGCGGGGGTGCGGGGCCGGGCGGCGAGGGGGCTCTTCCCGGATGCTCCGCGCTGCGCCGCCACCCCCACGCACCAGATCGGGGGCTCGGCGGGGCCGCCCCTCCAACCCAGCCCACCCTGCCTCCACCCGCCCGCCGGCCCTCCGGTGCCGCTGCCGCCGCCTGGTTCCCGGAACGTATCGAATCGTTTCAGCTCCCTCCCGGCTTTGTGCAGCCCTCCCCCTCCGCCGTGGCAGCGCGAGGGGCGCGGGCGGAGCCTTGCAGGGAATGGCTGCGCCGCCTCTGGGACGCGATTTTCCCCGGATCGGAGCAGCTAACAGTGCCGATCCCTCTTTGTGGTTGCTTCTGAGATGTGGGGTGGTTGACGGGAGGTCAGGCGAGGAGCCTTTGGGACACGGCTGGAGGGCGTGGAAGACGTGGTGTCACGCACCCGGCCAGGCGACTGCACCCGGCGCAGGCTCTGGCTCCGTAGTGAACCCCGGGGAGGGAGAGTGGCTTCCTGTCGGTTTCATTGTCCTGAGATTCGAATGTGGGGTTTGGGATGGTTCCTTCATTTGATTTCCCAAGGGGAAAAAAAATCTTAGGCAGTTGACTTAACGCTGGGCGGGAAGACGCGGGGTTTGTACCCTACGTCGTAGAATCTGTTTTCTTGGTGTTCAGTGAGTTTCGTGTATTAAATTGAAGAATGTAAGCCCCTTCCAGACAGGGACCGTGCCCGTGCAAGCACTGCCAGGGTGATCAATAAAAAATTACTGGATGGCGATGAAGACTGGACTGAGAGGGGCTGACGACGGAGCTATTGTGTAGCTGGGAAATGAAGCAGCAGGATTGTTTTTTCATTGGGTGGGGAACGCATTTACGTTCCCAAGTGAATAGATTAGGATACATCTAGCCTTTTTTTTTTTTTTTTAAAGCAATCAAAGCAAACAAAAAATAGGCCCGGTGCAGTTCTATTCACGACTTGGTTGATTCCTATTTTTATTCTCTTTATGAAGATTCACTCCCCTTTGAGAGAAATGAGCCGAAGCCGATTGAAAATGTATCTTTTAAAATGATTTGATCCTCCAGCTTGCAATGCTTCCAGCCGGGCGCTGGCGTTGGAACAGGCGGAAGAGGATGAGGCGGGAAGGGGAGGAGAAGGTGGGGGGACCAGGCGAGAGGAGAGGTATGTTCTGCGTCCAGGACCCAGAACGGCACCGCCGAAATCCCGCCTGGGGATGCGTCCAAGACTGAGGGATTCAGCCCCGGAACTATGTCACTGCAAGTTACAAACCATTGGGTCTTTTTCTGCCATTAATTTTTCTTAAGTGACACGAGGGCGGCTTGTAGTTCTTACTCACTTTGTAGATGTTGCTTAATTTTGCCGTTTTAAAACTGAAGAGCCTAAAGGGCACTTGACAGAGGAAGGCGCTACGATTTGGAAAGTTAACTGACTTGCCTGCTCAGCCCAACTGCCGATGAAACGCAGAGCCGCCTCAAACCAGGGTCCGCCCGGCAGGGCTCGGCCCGCCGCGGCGCGGGGACGGAACGCTGCTCCACAGCCCCTGTAGGCTGTCGGTGACAGTCAAGTTCATCGATACCCCAGGTGCATTAATCCGATCTTTGGTACTGTGAAATTGGTACTTCTACTGAAATGGAACTTTAGCTTCATAAATTAACTTAGTGATGGAGGGGAAGAGTCCGTAACATGGGCGTTTCATAAAAACAGGAACTTGGAATTTTTCTCCCTACTATGTACTAGTATCTGTATTTTAATATTTTATCATATTCAGTAGTGTTTTATGGTATGATGAAGTCTATAAACTCTGTTAAAAATAAAATTGCCACATAACAAGAGCCCGTGACGTTCATTCAATTAATGACTAATTTTAAACAAAAATGTACCTTTTCAGGAAAAAATTTGTTTTGAACTTTTTATCAAAATTAAATTTATGCTCTGTATTGAGTTAATTTTGCCACAGAGTGCTTTTTTGTTGTCTTAGAATTTTTAATGTTCAATTGTATATTGCACTTAATAGACTTTTAAAAGTAATGTGTCATTTAAATTTAAACTTACTTAAAAATAACCTGTAACTATATTCAGTATGTGGAATTATATTAAAGCACACTTGAAATGTATTTCACTGGTAAATTTCATGGTGTTCTAAAATTACTTTGTATAGAAATAAATAACCATCTGCATTTTTTATCTTAGCATTAGCATAGTGAAATTTATACTATAAAATTATTGTACATTATGCCTATTGATGCAAATACCAGGGTGCTTTCAAAAAGTCTGTGCTTAGTGATTTGGTTTATTTGTTCTAAGTATGAGTTTCTTGTTTTCTTTTATCACTGAAAAAAAACCCCACTTATTTTATTATTGCATCTGATAGTAATTAGATATCATTCATCTAGTACTGGATACTGTATATGTTTGAAGTTGTCAACATGTTTCTTATTCAACAAAATCTATTCCTGAGAAATAATTTTATGTCATTTCAATTGATGAATAATGTTTTTGTCTTCTCTGTAAGGAACACTAGCAGTGCTAAGCTATCCTATTATATATCTTACAGACAGCATGATGCTACATTGCCAGCTAAAATAACCATTTAGTTGCAAATTATATTGTAAGTGTAACAAAAGGGTAATTACATGCTATCTGAAAAATCCTCCCTGAATAAATACTAATGACTGGAGCATTGAATGTTGATGTGTTTCTGTAAGAAACGGGTTTCCTCTTATGGACAGAAATCTCAGACCATCTTTATTTCATAAACTCTTGGTAATGATCAAGATTTCTAATAATCAGCTAGACTTGGTGGAATGGATTTTAATTTATTTACTCAAATATTTCTTGAGGGAAGTGCTCAGCAATGACTTAACCAGTGTGAGCAATGCAAAAAAAATAAGAAGACATCTGTCTGGTGGTAAGGTTGATTCAACTGGATATATAGTCTAGTTCATTGAAGGGATTGCCCAACAGTATATTATAATTTTGGGGGGTCAGAATGAATATGTAATATGTACTGAAGGTAAAGTACACTTTTATGTCAAACAGAAATAGACAGGAAATGAACCAAAGTCAGGTTAAAGAAAACCTTACAAAAGTTACTAACATGCAAATAAGGATTGTGCAAAGCATAGAAGTGGAAAAGAATACCAAGCATGCATTAAGTTTGAAAAACCAAAAATGAGATACAGGAAGGAAGTTGATATTTAAGTATAACAATAATCAATAACTAGTATAAGAAATGTTATCCTTTGCTGTGTGGTGTTTATTACATAAATGAATAGTGTCTACCATGTACTTAAGCACCTACTAAGTGCCAGGCAGTGTGTGAGTGTGTGTGTGTGTGTGTGTGTGTGTGTGTGTGTAATTCAGGCAGCAGCCTTGTAAATAAGATGTTATTTTCGACATTTAAAGTTGAGAATATCTGAGGCCCAGAGTTAGAGGTAATTTTGCCTGTTGTCGCACATCACTAAAGGGTAGAGCCCATGATGGAACCTTCGTCTTTTTGACAAAAGCCAAAATTCTGACCGCACATCTTTTTCAGTAGGTTCAAAAGGCACCATTCATTCCCTCTGATTTACAAAATTGTAGAATTAGAGGAGACTTTAGAAGTCCTGTCATACCTATTACTGATATCCTTGAGATGTTATTGAATCCAGCTTCTCTGTGATACTTCCTTGAACAAATGGGCATAGCTTGGCTCACTGAGCTTTTGAAAAGTATGGAAAGATCTTACTTCAGCTGAGTGAGGGTCTGCTCTGCTATATGCATTATGGGACTTCTTCTTGGTTGCAGTTTTGTGTTTAAAAGTGAGATGCCGTAAAGTATTCCTCCATATACCGGGTCCTTGCTAGGTTTTCTCTTTTCTAACTTAAATATTACAACCCCTAAAACTTCATGTGATATGGTTACCTTTACCTTTCTCATCTCTCTCAGCTACATTCAGTCACTTTTGCCAGTGCTAATTTTTTCCTGATGTGGTTTCCATGTTTAATTCTGCAGTTATGGCCTGTATGCAGTATAGTGAAATTATTCCTTTTCTTGTTTAAGCAATGCGCTTGTGCTTACAGACAAAAAATTGTGTTAACTCCCAAATAACAGAAAAATGAGAGAAAAATGTTAGGTGGCATTTCAAGTTACATGTATGCAGTTCAAGGGTTTATTTTTTGAAATCCTGTATTTCTACTTTTCTGTATTAAAATGGCCTTTCTTCATCAAATGATAGTGTGTGGTAAGTTTCTCTGGATATTTGTGTTGGCTTTTTTTGTTTTGTTTTAATGTTCTTAAATAAACAATAAAAAGTTAGCAGCCTTATGTTGTTTCTCATTGCTTTTTGAAAAATTTGTCTGGAAACCACTGATATAGTCAAAATAAACTGGCATCTTTTTCTATGTTAAGATTTATCCCTTTCTGTACATATACATACATGATGTTTTCAAAGCAGTTTTGCCTTTAACCCTTTAAAAATCACCTCTTTGAACGTAGCCACAGTTTAAACTTGTGGAGAGCTCCTGGAACCATGATTCTGTCATCCAGGGGATTAGCTTCCCTTCCTGGCTTTTTGACATTTATAAATTTAACACACCAGCCCTCTTATGTCTTTATCCTGTCCATGTACTGGATATAGCCAGGGACAGAGCCATGCAGATTTAAAAATAGAATAAGTGTTACATAAATAAATGTGCTGGAGGTAAAGGATGACACAATGATACTGAAAACCCTTTGAATGTTTTTGTTTACTTGTTTTTAATTAAGAAGAAAAGCAGTCTATGCTCTTTGTGTATTTATCTTTCCAGTGAAACTTTTTTTAAAGTTAAGCAAAGAGTATATATTCTTTGTTTGGATTTTTTAAATCTTTATTGTGTAGTTTTTCCATTACCTTTTAGTCCTTTT